GGTTTTCAGTCCTAATAAAAAAAAAAATTACCAGACTAGGAAAATAATGCTCTTTTTTTATTGCTTAGGTGGGTAGACGAGCTCACAGCCCACCTGGTATTAATTGATTACTGGAGCCCATAGATATCTACAACGTAAATGCGCCACCCACCTTGAGATATAAGTTCCAAGGTCTCAAGTATAGTTACAACGGCTGCCCCACTCTTCAAACCGAAACGCATTACTGCTTCACGGCGGAAATAGGCAGAGTGGTGGTACCTACCCGCGCGGACTCACAAGAGGTCCTAAGACGATAGCAACTATTAATAATTGCCATGAAAATAACTTATTAATGTATAGAGCGTAAAGAGAGCATTCTAGAAGTCGAAATAGAAGTGAACTCTTGCTCGAACATAAACAAATTTGAGTATTTCATAAGCTGTTTAGCACAGACTTAAGCTGACGAACACACTTCACGACGTATGCTGACATCGAGTTTCTATTCTTTAAAAAACGGCTTTGAAAACTGTTCCTTCGGTTGAAACGACTTATTATGAGTTAGCGTATGTCAGTATTACTTCAGCACTACTTCAGCACATATTTTATTACCATTGACTATAATCGTCATCGCCTTATATTAATGCGTGCTTAAAGTTGCATTTATAGTGTACTAGCTGACCCGGCAGACTTCTAAGTGCCTTAATCGATAAATAAAAGACCTACACTTTTGTATAAAATAAACTTAAAACAAACAAAAGGAATCCTTCCGATGGGAGATACATCAAAGGAAAAACAAAATTGCTATTTTTATTTAATTCCAAGCATTTTCATATTTATCTACCTTTTAAACCTTCTCTGGACTTCCACAAATAATTCAAGACCAAAATTAACCAAATCGGTCCAGCCGTTCTCGAGTTTTAGCGAGACTAACGAACAGCAATTCATTTTTATATATAGAAATTACCTATTGATTTGGTGTGACGTCAAGTATAACCTATTCTTTTGTCAGTCATGGTACCTAAGCCAGCAGTTAATTTTGTACCTAATTTAAAGTAAGAAATTAGCACAATAGATGCGGAAGAAACAGATTTTTGGAAAAAAAATTGCAATTAAATTTAAATTGACAACGAAATCGACTCAACTCCACTTCTGTTCCGAACACACATACGAAACGCGCGGCGCTCCGTCTTAAGGACGACATATGAAGTAATTTTTTTTCGAACCCGCCCTCAGACCGAAACATGCCTTGCGCTTATCGAAATAAGGCCGACATTCCAATTAAACGCGAAATATTTTTTCCATTTCATATTTACGAATATGGCCTAAATTCCCGAAAAATTAGAACTGTGAAAGCAGAGGGGCCGCTGTGTGAGTTGGAATGTACACACACGCAAACACATGCGAAGGGGTGCAAGGGGGCGAAGGGGGAATGAGATAGTAGATAGTTTTAGAAAAAAAAAAGAAATGTATTTTGATGTCGTTCGTACTTATCTCCGAACACGAGATTTTGTATATTTTTAATTATTTTGTTTTTATGCTTTCACGACGCTGTTTAGAATGTCCATTCATTATGATTAAAGCCGTAGGCGATACGAGGGTTATTAAGTATTTACAAGTTTTGCAACTCAATGTGTTTTTATTCTGTTGATTTATCAACAAGCGTAACGAGCTTATAGAGTTTGGATGGATGCAGTATACGGGTCAGGGGGTGTTCCGTCGGGGATGGAACCTCGTCTTCTTCATCATAATAATAGTTCTGCTATATCCTGCCAATAATTTTTTTTTTATTGCTTAGATGGGTGGACGAGCTCACAGCCCACCTGGTGTTAAGTGGTAACTGGAGCCCATAGACATCTACAACGTAAATGCGCCACCCACCTTGAGATATAAGTTCTAAGGTCTCAAGTATAGTTACAACGGCTGCTCTACTCTTCAAACCGAAACGCATTACTGCTTCATGGCAGAAATAGGCAGGGCGGTGGTACCTACCCGCGTGGACTCACGAGAGGTCCTACCACCAGTAAAAAATAATGCCTGACGTGAGGCATTATAGTTCTTCCAATTTCGACTTGCACTTCATGTTTTAACGTGGGTTATAGTTATGACCACGTAATATTAGGTGGGTTGTGAGCTCGCTTGTCTATCTACAACAATCGACAAAAGCATTGAACTTTACTAACATAGTTTAAGATTAAAATATTAAAGTGAGGTCTCTTTTTTCGCTTTTCCTGTTTCATTTTGGACTACAATAGGCTGTCTATTAGATTACATGTCTATATACAAAAAATACGTAATTAAATTACAATTGTAAATAAATAATTTGTGGGAAATAAATACATTGCTTGTACAATATTAATGTGACTTGAATGTATTGATTTTTCTCCCTGTTCTTATCATTATTTAGGGTTGGCATATTTTGTTCGGGCGTAGGTACGTACTATGTGCTCTGTTACTTTATAAGGACTCTGCAAGCGATTTCAAACTCTCTTAAATATATATTTTTTTATTATAAAAACCGCTTTTATGGTTTTATCTTGCGTATTTTTTTATTGCCATTAAATGAAATTCGACACTTCGAAAATTCTTTATATAAATATATATGTTAGAGGAAGTCTGAAAGTGGCACCTGTGACATAGAAGTTGAGAAGTGCGCGCTTGAGATGGTATGGACATGTGATGAGGCGAAATGAAAATGAGGTTGGTAAGAGAGTGTTAACTATGAATGTGGAAGGATATAGAGGAAGAGGTAGACCTAAGAAGAAATGGATGGATTGCGTGAAAGACGATATGTGTAAGAGGGGAGTGAGCGAAGAAATGGTATATGATAGAGGAGTATGGAAGGAAAAAACATGTTGCGCCGACCCCAGGTGATTGGGAGAAGGGCAGGAGAATGGTGATGATTTCGAAAATTCTTTACAGTTTTTTGTGAACACTGACGATGATTGATGAGGTACTACTGCACTAATACAATACTACTACACTTATGATATAATTACAACAACAAAAACGCAAAATTAAATAGTAGAAGTATGTAGTTATAACTAAGTGTACCATAAGCATTTTTTTCCTATCTATTCTGATAGCCTTGAGAGGCTAGTTCAGATTTACCCTAGCATGTAGGTGAGCTCTTGGGGCTCAAACTGGAGGTGTTGCTGACACTGGCCCTAGCAAGAGCAGTGCTTCGCAGAATCTACCACCGGATCGGAAACGCGGCCCACTGAGAAGACCTGACGAGAAACTCAGTGGGCTGTGTCTGTTGGTAGGAGCATATTATATTAATTTGTTGTTTATACTTGCTACTAAAATTGCGTAAGCGGAGACTCGGGTTAAGGTCTTAAGACAGGCGACGACTTTGTGCTGTCCACGGGCTCTGGAAACCGCTTAAAAGCAAGTGGGTTGTGATTTCGATCGTTTTTTTTTTATTGCTTAGATAGGTGGATGAGTTCAGAGCCCACCTGGTGTTAAGTGGTTACTGGAGCCCATGGACATCTACAACGTAAATGCGCCACCCACCTTGAGATATAAGTTCTAAGGTTTCAAGTATAGTTACAACGGCTGCCCCACCCTTCAAACCGAAACGCATTACTGCTTCACGGCAGAAATAGGCAGGGTTGTGGTACCTACCTGTGCGGACTCTCAAGAGGTCCTACCACCATAAGTTCATTCTCTAATTACTTTAACAATATCAACGAGAAATAAATGAAAATATCTTTCGGTATTGCTTGTTTTTTTGCAAAAGTTTTATTTATCACACAATGATTCCGAGAAATTTCAGGGTTACTTCGAATTGGGAAAGAAAACGATAGCCGGTCAAACACCCCGAAAGTTCTATAATACGAGAACCGTAACTTTAGAAATGTATAGGAATTTGACGCGTGTCCACGCTTATAGCATGCTTATAGCGTTCTCAGGGAGCAACATTTTAAAATTCACATATCGAGGGGCGAAAAGTAATTTGGTTTTAGCGACAGGTTTTTTTGTACGCTTTACTAGCAGGACATAGTGATACATTTATTAATATTAACTTATTAATCTTTGTTAACCTATGATCACAAATAAAAAATAAATAAAAAAAAAATTTTAACTTTACACGAGAGCAATTTAAAGTTTAAAATTGGATAAAAAAATCATAACAAAAAAAATATTTTTTAGTTAATTGAATAGAGTAAACTTAATTAAAATGCAATTAAAAACATCGAACTGTTGATGCTAATATTAAATATATAAAAATGAATTGCTGTTCGTTAGTCTCGCTAAAACTCGAGAACAGCTGGACCGATTTGGCTAATTTTGGTCTTGAATTATATGTGGAAGTCCAGAGAAGGTTTAAAAGGTAGATTAATATGAAAATGCTTGGAATTAAATAAAAATAGCAATTTTGTTTTTCCTTTGATGTATCTCCCATCGGAAGGATTCCTTTGTTTGTTTTAAGTTTATTTTATACAAAAGTTTAGATCTTTTATTTGTCGGTTGAGGCACTACGAAGTCTGCCGGGTCAGCTAGTACTAAATAAAACGTTGTCGTCTATTATAAAGTGTCCCTTAAGCCAAACAGTCTTTCATTTCTCGATATTACGACACCAAATGTATTATACTAAATTCGTAGAAAAATCAAAGAAATATAGCTAATACATTTTTTTTATTGCTTAGTTAGGTGGATGACCTCACAGCCCACCTGGTGTTAAGTGGTTACTGGAGCCCATAGACATCTACAACGTAAATATGACACTCACCTTGACATATAAGTTCTAAGGTCTCAAGTATAGTTACAACGGCTGCCCTACCCTTCAAACCGAAACGCATTACTGCTTCACGGCAGAAATAGGCAGGTTGATGTTACCTACCCATGCGGACTCACAAGAGGTCCTATCACCAGTAAAATTTAATTTCATTAGGACAACGCCGCGAACTAGGTCACAGTTGCTATAGCTTCAATCTTAAATTGCTTTCAGAACTCTCAAATATCAATTCACATACGCGGCGGAATGTTTAATTCTATTGACTTGTTTTTGTTTGTTCGGTTTACCTGAAAACAATTGTCTGGTAGAGGTTGCCCGCTGGTTTTCTCGCCGGATCTTTTTCTAAGCTGGTCGCGATTCCGACCGGTAGTAGATTCTGCGAGGCACTGCTCTTGCTAGGGCTAGTGTTAGCGACGCGGGCACGATGCTCCCGTTAATCTCCCGTAGGGACTGTTGGGTACTGGGTGCGGGGGCGCCCGGTGCTCTGCTGTCGGCTCCGTGGTGAGGCGGCGCAAGGTGGCTCCTATGCGCCACTCACGGTGTCTCCTGAGACGACGTCCTGCGGGATCTTCCCGGGGATTGGATCCCGTCCTATTGTCAGGATGGGTACCGGCGACGGCGAGCCTGCGGCGCGCATTGTGCGGTACCGTAGGTTTCGTGGAGTCGGAGTGGTGGAGCTCGATGGGGTTTAGTCGGTAGTCGGTTTTGCGGGGCGGGTCCTGCGTGGTAGACGCCGCGCAGCGCCTCGCGCGCCTTTCTCAAGGCGTAGTCTCCCGGTAGGAATTGGAAGAAGAGGAGGACTTTGGTCTTCCTCTTCTCCCTCTTCTTCTCTGGAGGCGCCGGAGTCCGACATAACCCGGTCTA